AACTTAAGATATGGGCTGAAAAATAAAAGTGACTCAAAACTATTTCTTTGTCAGTAACCTTGACCTTCAATACTTTGAGCACCAATTCAACAAGCTTTTACCTTACTCAAAGTGTTAAGCATCACCAAAATTAGGTTTTGGCCTGTAATGAAGAAGTAATGTTATTGTGTGAAAACAATTTTTCTTCTTTCAACCAAAATGACCAAGACACTTGACCTTTTGATCTTAAAATCGATATGGTTATTCCTTACCCAAAAGTGCATGCCATCCACAAAGTTTGCAGATGGAGAATTCAATTCATTGTGCATAACAAAACTGGGAACAGACAGATGGACACAATGTGGTATAGTGGTCTAAGGCACTCACTTTGGGCTCAGCCATTGTGCATGTGAGAGAAAGCTTCAAAGTAGTTTTCTGTAGGTCATGTTCTTAAGGGTGTCACATATTTCTTCAGTTTCTTTAATGAAATATAGCTAATTGCTTTTGTCAACATTAGTGTTTTTCTTTCTTTCTAAATGCAACCAATGCTGACAATGGCATTCACCCAAAAAGAAATGCAAGTCAATGGAATTGAAACAAAGTCATCTTGTTTCTGTGAGAATTGGTTCCAGTAGGAGAAAGACAACAGTGTCAAAAGTGTCAATATGTGCCGCCAAGTGCACCAGATAAGGCTGAAAATTTGTCCTCTAATTACTGTCAGTTTATGGGGGAGGACTGTAAAACACTGGGTTTTTTTTCAAATTGAGCCTTCAACCCAAACAACATATATAACTGGCCATAGGACTATTCCAACCCCTGCATAATCCAGACTTTGACAAATTCATCAAGTACTTTACAAATTCTGTCAGGAATAGTTTATTGGGTAAAGTTTTAGTCAACCAACTCCATTTCAGAGCTTAAATTAGTATATTTTCCTCCATCTCATTTGAGGTTTTTATTCAATATTTAATTCTTTAAAGCTAGATACCTTATGTGTTTTTCACTCCAACTCACCACATACAAAACCATTTGGACAATTTTATCTTACTCCTTAAAATTGTTTTTTAAAAAACAAAAATTTATGTCTGAAAACACACAGAACAGATAAAACTCCAGACACATCATTAGTTCAAAATAGGTGAAATACACATGTCAAATTAATAAAAAAGAAAATCAATGGACAGAATCACAAAAAAACTTTTATTCCTTTTCAAATTAAAGATAGCTTTCTGTGCCTGGACAGACATGGTACTTTGCAACAAGAAACAAGTCCTCTCAATGTTAAAACCAAACCAAAATTGGTTAATCAGAATTATTTTCAATTTGACACCATCAAAATATTTTTTTTTATTACATACTGATTTAATCTTCCACAGTTAATCTGGTCTTCAATCCATATTTCTGTGCCACACATTCAGATGGGAACTAGTTTGGTGTTTCTTTTTCATGTCCACACATAAACATTTCAAGACAGTGAACCTAATTTGCATAAATACAAAGTTGCTTTCAATTTAATTCAAATACAAAGTTGCTTTCAATTTAATTCAAACTTCAAAGCTAAAAATATTTAAAAAGCATGAAAATGGGGTATATAATTAATTCAAACCACATGTATTTTATTCCGAGTTGCGAAAACACATTTCATATGGCTTATGAATATGGCCTCAACATGTCAATATGCCATCTCAACCTTGTTCTTTCTTCTCAAAATTTCCACAAAGTCATAGCAAAGACTTCTAAAAATGGTACTAGCATCTGCCTAACTTGGTGTTCTGCATTAAGAGGTAGGACTGGTCAGCTTGGTGTCAGGAAAATATGATTGGGAAGGACCATCATGCTACATGTCTGTGGCATGACACCCCAGTGCTAGACATCACTATAAACTACACCCCAGTGCTAGACATCACTATAAACTGTCACACTGCAGACATCATAGCTAGATGACTAAAAAATTGTTAAAGCGACATTACAAATCCAAATTACACACACATACAACAACAACAACTAAGAACAAAACAAATATGAAGTTTTGTGTATATACTGATTGATAATTTAACACCTTCTATAAATACCATCACCTTCATTTTCACTGCATTTTTCTGTTTGTATGTATTAATAATATATCCGAATATGTTGTAGTTCAGAATCAAAACTGACAACAATTACAATTATCAGTAAAACAAATCTCTTGCATATTTATTATTGCTGGTTGTTTCAAAAACAATAGCAATAGTCAATACAAAATTATGATCTATGGCCACATTAATAAAAACAATATTAATATCTAATATTAGAAAAAAGGCATGCTAGAAACAGCACCATAAAACAATATAATGTATTCTGATTATTAGATATTAGGACATTATGAAAATTGAACATACCTGGCACCATTTCTGAACTTAGGAATAGTTTCTGCTTGCGACTCTTGTTGCTAATGCACAACATATTTCAGAAAAACTAGTCTTATCCAAAATGGATTCTTGTTTCCTTTTGTTGGTATACACAGAACAAAAATTATTAGTGAAAATGCAAGAAAATCACAGACGCCTTTTTTTACCCCAAAAAAGAAATGAATAATTAATCAACTTCTATCCCAAACTGAATATGTAGGTAACATTCACCTTGTCTGGTCAGTGTTGTTTTTCTGAGATGTGCAGTATATCCCAGATTCCATAAACATTCTTGAACAAGATATCTTGATTTCCAGATATATCCAAGGATAGATTGTAGAATATCCTTGTAGGAAATATCAGTAAATTAAAATTACATATCCTTGAACTTTTGACTTTATGAAGAATCAATATTTACATTTATGCAAACATTTTTTTTTTTGGGGTTGTTTCCTTTTACATCTACTGCAATTGTGACTAGACTGTCATTACCCCAGTGTTGAAATGGTTATGACATTCCAATCTTTTGTTTAAATCAGCAATCAACCTAAACTTGACCTGTTAAAGTGGTTCCACTCCAAAAATTGTTCCTAAATAAACAATTCCTTGAATACATCTATAAGTATACTCCATTACCAAGTGTATTTTTGAGTCAGAAAATTCAATCTGAAGTACACTGATCTCTCATTTCAACAGGTAATTATATTACCATTCAAAATTTATCAGATGCAATTAGCAATTTGTGATTGTCTACCTTAATGAAAACTACACATGGCAGGTAATCACTGATCTGCCTGCATATACCTGTTGCAAAATGCAAAATGAAAGTCACCAAGTGAATTTAAACACCTGTTTAGAACAAGCCCCTACAGCAGTTTACCTGTCTCCCTCAGGTATATTAGACTTTGTCAGTGATTTTTAAATGAAGGCTCACCCACAATGATAGTTTATATGATGGTTTAGCTGAAATAATTGAAATTCTGCACACTCATTTTAAATTTGCTTACATAGAGAAATGCCACATCTGATAACAGGAAACCACCAACTTCACAAAACTTCCACTCATCCTGTATTTAGTCACAACCAATCAACTCTTTAAAATATTCAAACATGGTAGTATATATTACAATTAGACCCAAAATTAATGTAGACATGTCTCAGCAAATAGTTTTATACTATAATTCATATTGATGTGATTATGAATCCATGAATGTAAAGTTATTGCTTTACTTGGGTCAACTCTAAGGCAATGTCACCTCCATAATGTCTAAATGATCAGTTGGTGGAACAAATTTTGATAATCTTCTTGGAATACAATTTCCATAATCCTGCAAAGGAGATGAAAATTCACACCTCTAGAAACTGTACTGGGGGAAAAAAGTCTAGAGTACATAGGTGATCCATATCTATGTTAGTGTCATTTATCCTACCTCCTGGATCATACATACATATATATAGGAAGCTGTGGCAATACAGTGGCTAATAGTTAAAACCATTGATATCTACATACCAAGCTGGATTACTCCGCAATAGTGCCAAGAAACTGTGCTAAACACAATTGTTAACCCATATCAATAGGGCTTGAAATATATGTCATAGTAACCTAATTTTAACTGAAGGTGTGGTTTTGTGGGCTTATGGCAGGCAGTATATTTGGTGGAAGAAAATCCCAAAAAGAACCACTGACCCACAGGAAGCTATTGACTTGAGCTTCCCTCATAACCATATTGGCTGAGCCAAGACTTGAACAAAGGAGAGAGGGACAAGATGTCAGTGATTTGTAAAGGTGAGCATCTTTAGCCACCCAAAGCCAATCTTTAACTGAAAAGCAAAGCCATTTCCTCACAATGCTTTTATATACCAAATCACATGACTATGAAATACAACAGCAGATTACCCCAGTATGAAATATTAGTCACAGTGATTTAGTTTTACTGAACTGTGTAGTACTCTTTATGATACAAGAACATGTGCAGTCCCTGTACAATGAAGGCAATGGTTTATGAACAATAGCAATATCCAAAGTGTAATATCCTGATGGAATGTTGGAATGATGAATGGACTGACATCATTATGATTCATAGATTCAAGTTGACTGCAATATAAGCATGAAGATATTTTATCTTGAATGGATCTAACTCTCTGTAAGCTTCTACAACAACCTTGTGAGGAAAATGGGACATGTGAATGTAGTGCATAAAAGGACCTCTTCCCACCAAAAAATAGGAAATAGTAGGCTTCCATTCTGTGCATCTGAAATACAACTACATCAGAATAGTGGTTCTTGATGCTAATCATCAATTAGATGGATTCAATTTAAGTTTGCTGCTGCAGCCTTTAGGCATTAACTACAGTGACAATGTTACTTTTTTCTTGTTTTGTGACCTGATGTGATGTGATTTGAATTTTTAACATAGCTTTAACAATTTTTCAGTCATGTTGCTATGATGTCTGCAGTGTGGCAGTATTATATTTATGTCTAGCACTGGGGCATCATGCTGCAGACATGTAGCATGATGTCTCACCCAGTCACATTATCCTGACACTAGGTCAACCAGTCCTAACACTAACCTCTTAATGCTGAGTGTCAAGCAAGGAAGCTGTGAGTACCATTTCTGTAAGTCTTTGGTATGACTCGACTGGGGATTGAACCCACAACCTCCAGCATCCAAAGCAGACACTCTAACCACTAGGCCACTGGAGACAAGTGTCCTTAAAAAGTCAATTTCCAAACAAATACCTTCTGAAAAGGCAGCATAACTCTAGAAACTTGCAGGCATTATGTTTAAATCTTCAGATATAAATCAATCTACCTGAATTGCCAAGACGGAAGTTGCACATTAACAGGTTTTGTCAAATATTTCATACCTCTAGAAAAGCTGCATGTTTGCATATTTATGCAAAAATTGACTAATATTGCATCAATAAAGTTTAAAATGTGCTGAAATTGCACAAAACAATTTAATGTTAAACATTTTAGTCCAAACCTGTAAGAGCCCCTGTTCTATTATTTGATTACTGTAACTAGTCTGTCAAGACATATTTTGAATGTTTGCTATCTGTTTGAAATGAGAGCATTGGTACAGAAGAACACTCACTCCAACACAGCCATATAATCAAATGCACCTTGAACTAATCTTGGGTTTTATGCTTTTTTACACATTCTGAAGGACAAGATTTGCATTCTGATTAAGACTGTGTCTGGAACTGAAGGTTTTTTTTAAAGGTATTTACAAAAAACAAACACCAAAATATCAAAAATGTTACCATGTTAATTCCAAGCCAGAGAGTAGTAAAACCATTTCATTTATGATTCTTTTCCTTCATATCTAATTTTCCGCATTCTGAAACATTTTTTGACACAATTCAACTAACTCAAAAAACTGTTCAATATAAGCATCTGGGTTATGATGATAGATGTCTATAAAATTAAAAGTCAATACCTTCAAAGTGGCAAAAATATAATGGAGCATACAATACCCAATTAAGAATGGACATTTTGATTTGTTATAACTCAATGAAAATTAATTTGAGAAATTTTTATACCAAACATTGATCACAAAATATGTAGACCAAAGATGAGGGTTCCAATTAAAGTAGTTGACCATCAGAGACAGTGAGAAATTTTAGAGTTAAAATCTAAATGTAAAGAATATGCCAGGCATACTGACAAAACATTCCTTCAAGGTCAGACATATCTTTATGGCTTGATGTAAAATACAAACACTTCAGCTGCATTATGTGTGTATGTGTACATATATATCAAGATAGTACAGTATATGGAAACTATACAATATGCAGCCTGTTTTCTCAAAGATGGCTTTGCTTATATAATAAATCGGCTGAAATGAGTTAAGTGAAGGAGGAGGGGAGAAAGAGAAAGACAGTATGAACTTGTGCTTCTTTCTTAGATCATCTCTTATTTGGAATTGCTGCAGAATTACAACATACACATAAAGCTATTCATGTTAATGACAAAAGCCACTGGATGGTGGTCAGATTTTTGAGAATGAGATTATAGACAAAAATAGATGCCATATGGATGTGATCTCATTTTAAAGGTGGTCACAAAAAAAGCAGTATTACTCTATTTTGACAGTAATTTATACTTCCTTTTCCATCTCTATTTCAAACTAGTAATTTGTTATACCAGATGAATCTGGAATTTGAACAAACACAAACTAATAACTTGTAATTTGTCATATCAGTGATATGTCTACTTTAAAGTGAAATAGACACCTGAAATTCATACCTATCAATTTCAATTTTGTTCCCAGTTTCAACAGACACACTACCTGTCAGTGGTACCTGAGAGAAGACATTTCAGCACATTACTTAGAAAGGGGATTATCCTGAAAAGTCAAAATGAAATTTCCCTCACCTCCCCATTTCCCTGAATGAGCATTTTTTTTAGCCTTAGTATACTGGTTCCTCTTAACAAAGTATTTCAGCATAGTGCATTCACTGGTATAACATGGGCACAGTCATATAAACCATTTTTAAAATGAATGTCATCAACTTAAAAACTGCCTCAGAGGGAGCACCATCCTGAACAAAGCACCACTTTCATGTTTTGATTCCCTGGATAGCATTACATTAAGGAGGCACTAGAGTTGAGTGTTTTGAATTTTTAACATACTTTTAATACCTTATTGACTAGCTAAGTACTTTTCCCAAGGACATACTAAAGTAAACATCCATCTGGCATTGATGGGTATTAAACCAGTGTTTGTTGGAATATAAGTCTGAGAATTAATGCAACTCCCGTTGGTAGTCTTAGGGTCTTTCTTTAATATGGGAAGCAACATTAAGTTCTTCCAAACATGGTGTCTCACCAGAAACAACTGCAATCCCCTCTGTATGCGAAATACAAAACATACAACAAAAATGAAAATCTGAATCTTAATTCCTAATGAAAATGATGATAGTGATGGAATTTTCCACTTGACACAAATGTGTCATCATGGCTTTGCAGGTGAAACATAAATGATCTTGGGACAAAATGAAATTGAGATGATGACACATAGAAGTATCAAGCAGAGATGTACATTTACATGTATTGTTCAATGATCCATAATGTATTGATCCATAATGCAGGTAGCTTCTGGACTGTGTAATAGCTACATAACATACTTTTTACATTGCATGTGTTGGCAAAGAAAAACACAGGAATCAGCACTTGGTGGTGGGTATTGAATTAAAAATAATATTGCAATATAAATTATTTAACTAGATAGCACATTATTTCTTATGTTATAATGAAAAATCAACATAAAGTTTTTATATTGCTAGAATTAAGTTATTGCAAGCACAAAAGAAATGATCAAAAGATGTTTTGGGTTTAATAACATTTTTGAGATGGTGATAGGAGGAAAAACCTGGAAAAGCCCTAGAAAAACCACAGCACATGGAAAGCTACTGGCATTTAGTTTTCTCACATAACCACATTGGTTGAGCCAAAAACTTCAATCCACATACACAGAGGTAACATGGCAATGACTGGTAAAGATCACTTTACACTATATCCAGTTTGTACTTGCTCCTGATGCAATTAAAGTCTTCATTTAGTACTGCTGTAAAACTCTACACAAGCATCAATAGTTTCGTGTATTACAATCTTTTCATTATTTTTCCTACCTATGCTGCTCCTAAGTCTATAACACTAATGATATAACACTAATTAATTTCTCATATCACACACATGCTTGAAAAACTTGATGCAGTTGAACCTGTCTTGAAAGACAACCCATTCTGCTAATCTGCCAAAAAATAATGGTCTCTTACCACAGGAGGTTCTCAAGACAGGTTGTAACACTATATAACCAATAAATCTGTGCAAGGAGAACCTGGTCTCTCAAGACAGGTGGTCATTCTTAAGTGGTCTCTCAAGACAGGTCTTACTTGTAGGTCAACATCAAGGTCAGTCATGATTAATGTTGATAAAATGCTTACTCATTAAGATCCAAGTAACAGGATGGTTTACCAATATGGAATTTTTCATTATCTTTTGGTTGTATACAGAACAAGACCATATCAATCAAAACTGTGTCAAGTTGGAATACTTTACTAATGTTAGTTTCACAAAAATGACAGCATCATACAAGGACATTCTTTATAAGTTATGTAAATACTGGGTTATAGTGATATAATGTAATATGGCAGAAAGACACATTAATTCTTGACATATTTATTCTAAAATCAGTGATCATAAACCTGTCAAAGCAACATGAAGCCAGATTTATCTAGAACAGAGCACATGTCAAAATGTTTGTTGTGTCACAAGACTATACTCTGATATGTTTTCTCTGCTTTATGAAACTAGCCTTCTCCAGGATGTTGCAACAATGACAGGTTTCTGGTAGCTGTACTCTGAATAAAAATGACACAAATTCATTTTTTTTAAAAAAAAACATTACATGCCCCAGATAGTTTTCAATGACTCTGAAATAACTTTCTAAAGTTTTCAGTATTTATATCAATAAATTAAAAAAAATGTCAATATTATACATTTGTGAGAATAACAAGTAACTTCTTTTATTCCTCTAGTTCCTTCCTTTATCAGTTGTCCTCACAAAATCAAACTATTATCTTTCTCTAAGATCTTCAATTTTTCTTCTTTTTTTTTTTTTGTAAATAAATAACTGTACTAAATCCATCTGGGAGCCCCGAGGATCACTGCCATCTCACCTCTGTCTGATGAGTTCAAGTCCAGACTCAGTGAGAAAGCCTGCCAGTAGCATCTGGTGGGTGTGGGTCGGTGGTTCTTCCCAGGGTTTTCCAGGGTTCTTCATCCACCATTAATACTGGCTGCCATGTATAGGCTATCTTGTGCTGAAAAATGGTGTTAAACCCAACAACAACAACTAAATTGCATCCTTGCACATTTACTTTAAAAAAATATTTGTATATAAACACAACTGCACTTTACTGAATACTATATCTGTAAATATCCCAACTGCTCTATATTGGATACTACACTTGTACATAATACAACTGTACTTATTGAATACTGCACTTGTACATAATACAGCTACACTTGTACATAATACACTTTACTGAATACTATATCTGTAAATATCCCAACTGCTCTATATTGGATACTACACTTATACCTAATACAACTGCACTTATTGAATACTGCACTTGTACATAATACAGCTACACTTGTACATAATATACTTTACTGAATACATAATACAGCTGCACTTTATTGGCAACTAAATTTGTATATTTGTTTCAGATGCACTTTACTGAGTACTGCATATATAAAACAGCTGCACTTTATTGGATATCAGACTTGTACATAATACAATTGCACTTGAATTTGGATGCTGGTAACACTTGTACATAACACAACTATACTTTATTGGATATTACACCAATACATACCAGTAACTGAGCAGTTTATTGAATACTAATACATACCAGTAACTGAGCAGTTTATTGAATACTACACTTGAAACATAATTCTGTCACACTTCACTGGATACCTCTCTTGAATATAACACAGCTGCACTTTATTCAAGACTACCATTAATACTGAATACTACACTTTTAACATAATTTAGTCACACTTCACTGGACATGACCTGGAACATAATACGGCTGCATTACTTGACTTAATTTCTTCTGCCCAAGGTATGTGGCCAATGTTTTTAAAAGAATGAGAAACAAAGCCATGTAGCTTTTACCATTGTAACCAAGT